GCCGAGCTTTTGACGTCGAGACACAAGAGTGGATTTTGTTAGAAGAAGGTGTACGAGTCGCAAGTCAGCGAAAACGTCACCAGTGTTTCTCAAGATTTTTCACCCGTCAAGATGGGCTTTGCTTCTACAAAATTGTGGCCGGTCTGTTCGAGGCGATTAAAATCGCTAGTAGCCCCAGTGAAGTGGCACTTCGTCCTCGACAGCTCATCAAGGACTCTCAAAGATGTACTGTTTCATAATGGGAACATATATCCACTCTTACCCTGGCTCGATGCAGCTCAAAGTGAAATAGAGCAGTGTCAATCTGTTTTATGCCTTGAAATATGAGAGGTACGGTTGGGCGGTTATCGGAGACTTCAGAATGGCGGTTTCTGTGTTACATTTACCTTTAGAACAGCAGGGACAGCGCAACACAGACGAAACTGGCCATAGCGGACCGAATTTAATTTTGGGAGGAAAGGATTATTTTCTCAATTACACTTAAAATTGGGCCATATAAAACAATTTGCCACAGCTCAAAAAAATTGTTGTCATTCAAGAGTCTAGCGCTACAGAATCATAAACGAAGAACACTAGAAAAATAACAGAAATCACATCACTTGAGGTTTTTCACAAACAGTAACACGTAAAACGGATAAACTGACGTGGCGTCTCAGCTTCAGTCACTTTTCTACCGCCATAATGTAGCTTTTTTGTGGTCTCTCTTGTGTAATCCTAGAATAAATAAATGCTACTTTTGAATCATATGTCATCCATCTTGATTATTTCAAGGAGAACATGGAGGCGTACTCAGAGGACATAAGCGAGTATTTCCACCAGGATATACTGGATTTGAAACGCTGCTAACGTGGCGTCTCGGCTTCAGTGATTTTCCCACCACCAAAATGTAGTTTTTTTTGTGGTCACTCTTGCGTAATCGTAGGATAAATAAATCCTACTTTTGAATCATATCTCTCCCATATTTATTAATTCAAGGGGAACATGGGGGCGTACTCAGATGACAAAGGCGACCATTAATGAAAACAGGATGAGAGATTATATTTGGAGGCTTGTTCGTGAAAGTAATTTAAAGTATAATCTTAAGTCGCGATAAACTACTCATTATTAATTTTTTTGTGGTCTTTCTTTTGCAATCCTCGAATAAATAAATGCTACTTTTGATTCACATGTCGTTTTGTTCCTACTTTGCGTAAAAATATTCAAAATGACCAGGTTTCATTACTGGAATAGAAACATTTTGGAAATATAATTCTCCTGTTTGAATGATATATATTTGCAATTTTTCACGCGTTTCTAGCTGTATTCAGATAGGAAACAGCAACTTCTACCCAAGGAAAATCTTTTTTTCATTAGACAGAGTCTGGAGCTACACAATCATGATCAAAGAACAGCAAAAAAATCACAGAAATCACATCACTTGAGGATTTTCACAAGCAACATCAAATAAGATGGATAAACTGACATGGCGTCTCGGCTTCAGTCACTTTCCCACCGCCATAATGTAACTTCCCTGTGCTTTTTCTATAAATAGCATTTAATGATCATTGTATTTATGAACTTTCTTCTATAGTACCTAGATTTTATGAATTTAAGCTCATGTCCTGGGTATACGATACCTCTGAACGGGTGATTGGAAATTTTGAGGCGCGTGGAACCACCTATTACTTTCTGTTGTTCCCAGTTCCGCCCTGCCCTGGGGTGTTAGCACCTGTTGGGGCCCCAGATATAAGCAAATAATGAACCACAAACAAAAACAAAATACTATGAAAGTAATAAAAATACCAGCAATATATTTTTATATAAAAATGTCCAACAATACACATTTTTAAAGCAAAATGGCCAGCAAAACATTTTACAAAAGTGTTCAAAATATATTTATTTGAGGCCATAAAGTTGTATTTAAATTATTTGAATTTCGGCATTAAAAAATCAATAATAGCTGATATGCCCCTAAACAAAGTCAACCAACCAAAAAATTATGCAAAGTAATAGAATGGCTGCAAGATCTCATAGTTTTACAGTTGAAATGATAGATGTAAACGTAAGTTTTATGCTAAGAGTTTCTTCTCCCACACCAATGGAAACTTCTTCCGAATTCTTGCTTTCCAAAACTGATCTTCAAAAATTTAAATACAAAGTTAATCATTAGCTACTGTCTTCTTAATTCTCCTTTTTTTACTCTCTCTTTAATTGTATTTTTCTCATATTCCCTCATACTCCTTACGCCTTGCATTTTAGTGGCCTTGCTTGAGAAGAAAAAATGTTTCAAAATTTCTAAAATGTTTACTCAAGTTTAATGAAGAGATATTACGTAGAATCACGTCTATAAAATTTTTATCTCACCTGGGGCGAATTTAATTAAAAACATTTCCAAATCAGTACATTTTGTGTACCGAATTGCTTTCCCAGATCAGTGGATATGAATTGGTTCGAGCGAATGAAGCCTGCAAGTCTGATCAAGATCCATCATTATTCGAACCACGTAGTAATTTTTGCTGTTATTATATACATTCTGAATTTACCGAACTCATATCTTGAATCTGTCTATATCCCTGAGATGAGGTATTATGGTTATTTATATTATTTACATTATTTGGACTGTTATTCTCACCTTCATTGCCATATTCACAACGTATCGTCCATTATACACCCCGGCCTTCTTCAGGTGATTGGAATTTTGAACTGAACACTTTATTTCGTCCTGAGCAGACCAAGCATAGAAATGAATACAATATGGGAACCAGTAATAAGGAGTGCTAGAGAAAAGCAATGAATAACAACACAAAAATTGCAATATAATCACTGGTAAAAAAATATTCAATAATAATAACGAAAAATTGCAATATGAGCAGTGGTAAAAAAATGGTTTCTGAGATATTAGGTTTATAAGTCCCAGAAATTCATACACCGATGTCCTCAATGACACATGGCCCAGTGAATAAAGACGTTGATTAGATCCAGTGGCTAGACTCAATATGTTGAAAAACCCCAAACCCACAACTTGGAGAACTGAGGTAAAGGGAAATAACTGAGGCACCCGGAAGAGGCATGGCACGTGAAACTAGACTAATCTACTCCCGTAGGGTTTGATTCCAAATTCCAATCACCGGAGCATACAACGACCGAAACTTTGTGAATATGGCAATGAAGATGCAAATAACAGTCCGAATAATGTAAATAATCATATCTTGAATATGTCATACCTTCAACTAGCCTCGTCACATTCGTTCAGAAAATGCCAGCTTTCTCCAAGCGATGTTTAAAGTTTTTAGTGATATCTGGAGGTTTAAGTGAGAATTATACTTCTTCGGAATTCGTCGACTGGCGCTACAGAATCATATACAAAGAACTGTATTAAATAACAGTAAATCAGATCGATTCAGGACATACAACAACAGCAACAACTAAAATGGATACTGTATATAACTCGAAGAGAAAATAATAACATAAGGAAGACGGTAACGTTCTACATTACTTCAAGTATAATGTTAAGAAAGGAAGCCACTATGAATATTAATAACAGTTTCTAGACATGAGAAACCTATTTTCTTTAAAACATGTTGAAGAGTGCAATTTTATAATTTTCAACTGAAAGTAATCGTGGCTACTCGGCCAATGAATACCAAATTCCTTATCAAGAAACAGATAATATTATGATTGCCATTGTGTTCGAAACTTTAAAGTTCTCACGTAATTATAATCTTGTGTCAGACTAAGTTTTCCCCTTTTGTCTATTCTACTATATTTTTGTTTATTTGTTATTTATTTTCTTGCTTTCTCATCATGTTTTTCATTATGATCATTGCTTGTTACTGTGATATTTTGCTATTGTTTTGGCCCTTATTTTTATTGGAAACAAAAGCGATGTCACTTGCCTTCAACACGTGATTTGCAATTCGCCATTCACGTGAAAGAGAAATAAATGAAGGATGGAGTTGGGAGCGCTGATGACACGTGACTCTTTTCATAAAATTACCAATATTTTATATTTTATTTACCTTTTTCATGTCATAAGTGAGTGTTGATAGCCGCTTGTCATCGGCGTGGGATTCACTTAATTCGTTGTCATCAGTGTCAGAGGCTTGTAGCGGGTAGCGGGTGGCTAGGAATGGCGATGGCTTTTTCATTGTGGAATGAGAATTCACAATAATAGTTTCAATTTTTATTCTTTCACCGAGAGAAGTGGCGCCTGGTGATGGATGCAATCGAAGAAAGAAAGAAAGAAAGAAAGAAAGAAAGAAAGAAAGAAAGAAATGTAAATATTAGTAAAGAGGCGAATCATGAGTTAAGGGAAATATAGGATGGGAGAAGAAATTTTAAAACCCAAGGAAAAGAAAGAAAGAAAGAAAGAAAGAAAGAAAGAAAGAAAGAAAGAAAGAAATGTAAATATTAGTAAAGAGGCGAATAAGTGACCATGAGTTAAGGGAAATATAGGAAGGAAGAAGAAATTTTAAAACCCAAGGACAAGAAAGAAAGAAAGAAAGAAAGAAAGAAAGAAAGAAAGAAAGAAAGATACAAACAAAGTAATGTAACAGAGAGAAAAAAGAAAGTTAACGAAAGAAATAAAAAAAATAGTAGGAAATTTAGAAACGCAAAACCAGAAAACGAGTAAAGAAAAGAAAAAAGAAATGTAAATATTCGCAAAGAAGCGGAGGGGCAATTAGGGGTTAAATGAAATATAGGAAGTATGATACAATTTTAAAACACGATGATAAGAAAAAAGAAAGACAATGTAACAAAGAAATAAGAAAAGAAAGTTAAAGAAAAGAAAAGAAAGAAAAAAAGAAAGAAAGAAAAATATTGGGATATTTAAAGCCCAAAAACGAGAAAGTAAAAAAAAAAACAAAAAACAAAAAAAAAAAAAAAAGAAAGCAGTTTAATAAAATAAAAAAGGAAAAGGTAAAATTCAAGAATAAAAATCAAAGAGAAATTCAAGAAGGAAAAGCGATAATAAATGCATTCAATTGAAAGTAAACAAAAAGGAATGAAACATTTAACGATTAGAGATAAAAAGAAATGGAACGAATGAATAAAGGGAAGAATACAACTGATGAAGAAAGAAAAACAACAGGATGAAAGGAAAAAATAAAAAAAAGGAAGAAATCATAAAATTCCTTGTAGAAAAACTGTTCTCTTATGAAAGAAAAATAATTACTTCATTGAATAAAGAATAAAGGAAGAAAGAAATAACGAAAGAAAATGAATAATTAATTCAGTGCAGTGAAGAGTGGTCAGAAGAAAATTTAAAAGTTCCATCGAATTTGAAATGAAAATAAGAAAGAAAGAAACATTTAATGAAATAAATAAATGATGAAAAAAAAAAAAACAGAAATATAAACGCATATTTATAGAGAGAAATTTTAAGAGAAAATTTAAAGATTAAATGAAATAATAAATTTAAAGATAGAAAATAACACGAAATTGAGTACAGAAAATTTTTTAAAAAAAGTAAAAATAAAAAGATATCGAAAAAAATAAAATTACCATATTTAACGCAATAATATATGCACAGGCATATCAACAGGACATAATCAATAAAAAAAAGTTTAAGTGTTTTATGCAGGTAATGTTTAAAGCTAGCTGTCAGTAAGATGCAAAATAATCCAAAAGCACTTTCGTTATAGCAGACAAACATCACTGTATACAAAATGCAAGCAAACAGTACAGTTGAAGATGAAGCAAGAAATCACAATAGTTAAAATATCCTGCATGATAAACAGTAATACAATATTGCAAGTGAAATCAAAGAAGCAAAAATTTGATAAAAAAAAGCCATCTCCCACTATAGCTTATTGTAAATATAAATATAATTTTGCCATCATATGTATTTCTTTTCAGTTACCTCCCTTTCTTCTGTGGTTTCCACATGGCTAATGAGAGGATAAGACTTAGGTGTATGTCCGTATAATGGAGCAGCTCATGGAGCAGTTGCCATGATTATTCTTTTTACACCATCGGCAATAATAATAATAATAATAATAATAATAATAATAATAATATAAATATTCAATCATGAAAGAAGGTTGTAAATACAAACGAAATTTACATTGAGTAGATTCTGCAGAAAAACAAAACAAAATCCAGGAACCAAATGTTGCAGCAAAAAGTATGAAAAAGGAATCCAATGATAAAGCTGTTGAACAGATGAAGCAACGCTGACAAGACAAACCTCTTCATGGCAAATATCCAGAACGAGGCTAATAAAGGCGATGTTGATAAAGGTAACACTCATCGATGCTTACTATCATCTAGATTAAAGCCTGAAACGGAAGACTTTATTCTTGCAACGCAAGAACAGAGTCTTTTCACTAGGAACTTTCAGGCAAATATCATGCATAATAATGTTGTTTCAAAATGCAGGTTCTGTGACAAATATCAGGAAACCACAGACCTACTAATCTCTGGATGTCCTGTACTTGCGCCAAATGAATATAAAAATCGTCACGATAGAATGAGGCAATACTGACACTGGACAATATGAACAAATTTTGGAAACGATGTTAACGACCACTCTTATGAATATCACCCAGCACCAGCTGCAAAAATAGAAGCCATAACAATTCTATGGAATCACACCATCTTTACTGACAGGAAGATTGAAGCAAATTAAGCTGGACATAACTCTGAAAAACCGAAAAAAAAACTTGCTTACTAATTGATATAGCTTGCCAGGCGGAGTGTAACATGACAACCAAGAAATTTGAAAAACTATCGAAGTATAAAATCCTGGAAATAAAGATAGAAAAAAAAATGTGGAAATTGAAAACAAGACTAGAAACATTCGTAGTCGGTGTGCTTTGAATGATAAAAAATGGAACACAACAACACACTAAAAAAAAATCTTTGTAAATCTCAGCTTAAGAGAAATACAAAAAATGTTTTGATAAGTACAGGCCACACACTAAGAAGAACTTTGTCTATATAATCCTAGTGATGTCATGGGATTTAGAAAAGCAAATCATGAAATACAGCCACAACGACACATCACTACTTACCTTATGTTTTCCAGCAGACTTAATAGATAGTGTGACCATAGACGAAATCGAAATCATAATCATCATCATTATGATAAAAATAATAATAATAATAATAATAATAATAATAATTGTCGTGTATTGCATATTTCTTATCATTCGTGTCACGCCTTATAGAATTCTATTAAGAAATCGCAAGTTCCATCATTTTCTGTGGTTATCTATATACCAACCTCAGTGTTTGCTCAAGGAGAGCATTTTGGAAGCGCTCAGGAGAACATAAAATAAAAACAAACTCAAAATAATCATCGGAAACCAAGACAACCAATTCAATCTTCAAAATAAAAGCTTCACAAGAAATGTAGTGTTTAAGGAACTAATTGTCTGAACAGTATTATTAGTATACAAATTGACTAAACAGTTTATCAGTAGCTTCTGTTTGTGAGTACATTAATGACTTCTGTGATCTGCAACGGATGGACTTATAAACAAGTTATTACAAAAAGCGTGGTAATAAGGGAAAGAATTGTGTATACACATCGGTGTCTTCTGCTTCAATGTGAATTCTTAACCATCGTTATGCAATATAACAAAATACATGTAATTGTTATGAATGTTATGTAATGTATGTAATATGACAAAAGATCTTTTAAGAAACGTAGTATTAAAGGAACGGATTAAATTAGACAGTTCATTGGTCTTATCGTATCCACCAATATGGCTAATGGTGAATGAACTCACTTGATTAAAAAAAAATAATTAAAATATATACCTTTCTTGCTTATGTAAAATCGTCTTAATTCCTAATTTTCGAAACTACTCCTAGGGGACGTTTTCCGGTACTATAAATAACCCGCGATAATTATTCGCATTCTCTTCTTACTTTTCCGCTTATACGACAACATGTAAATCTCTCGCGGAAGATCGCGTACCCTTTTTGGGAAACGCATGAACAATATATACACACCCCCGTACGTACGCACATTCACTCACTTCACATAATTTGGATCAAAAAGTTTCCACATTCATTTGTTACACACATTATTGTCTTTGTCACTTGTAACACTTTTGTTGTCGATACATTATTATTTGTTTGTACATATATATTGGTTCTTTTTGTTTCTTTACATTAATTGGACTCATACTCTAGAGTCTGCCATGTTTGTTGTGGGCATTGCGGGCGACACAGGTGTTTATCTCTTAACGCGTACACCCGCAACAGCTTTTAATTTAGTACTGAATACTGGATTTCCGTTTTATTTAATTTCAAAACTCTTTCTTAAGTGCAAATCAGTATTAACACTTTCTAACAATTAACGTCCTTTTTGACGGTATGGATGCATTACTAGCAATAATAATAATACTTAGAAAGGTGCTTGATTTCAGAAAACAATGTTTGACAATATTTTGACAGTATATTTCTCTTTTTTCATCTTATTTAAAAATTATGTTGAAAAATTGCATACTAGTAGAAAAATATATAAAAGAATTATTTTCTTTTCTTAATGCTCGCCTTTCATATTAGAATAGTTATGTCCATCATTTTTTAAATGATAACATATCAAAATTTTGAAATGGATATCTAAAAATGTGGCACATGAGGACATCAATAATTTCAGTTGCAATGGGAGCCCTCGGGTTGATTGGAAATGGTTCCTATAGACACACTGAAGTGACTCCTGTTAGCCCATGCCTTAAAGAAATACCAAAAACTAGAGTATCAGTTACACCTCAGATATTACAAAGATCTTTGTCAATGTAAAATGTGTGTGAACTCAGGGTTTTTTTTTGGGGGGGATGTCATGAAGCCATTTCTAAACTTAGGTCTCTTGTTGGGACCCGAAAGGAAATGTGTATATAACAGAAATCAAAGATAATAATAATAATAATAATAATAATAATAATAATAATAATAATAATAATAATGATGAAAATTGTTCTGACAAGTACAGCCCGCACTTTAGGGAGGGCTTTATCTATGTAATTTTTTTTTTTTTTTTTGTCACTGGAAAGTGTCATGATGCCACTTCTAAACTTATGTCCCTGGGCGGGACACGGAAAGAACTGTGTAAACGCCAGAAATCAAAGAAAATAATAATAATAATAATAATAATAATAATAATAATAATAATAATAATAATAATCTAAGAAAAGTATTGCTTATCTAACATATGAGTGTTGTACCCCAACAGCAAATGAGTTTAAATATTGTCCTCACATCGGAGCGACATAGCCACCTAGGCAGCTATGGCAGCTATAATCTTCCCTATGCAAACGAAAAACAAAAGGTATTATCAAAAACTACCATCAGTGAAAGAAGAATGAAACATTACATTTCATAGATAAAAGTAAAGTAAAAGTTATACAATAGCATAGCGAACAATCTGATCACGGAAGTTAAGCAACATCAATCACGGTCAGTAATTCGATGGTGAGGGCTGATATAACTCTAATCATTATAAACGATGTGCAAGTTATGGGGAGTGGTACAAATTCTTGCTTGACACTTCCTAACATATTATACGTGTCTTTTCCCATAGTAAAAAAAAAATATTGCTGGTAATATTTTTTCTAGAATGTATTGCTGGTTAATATCTTTTTTTTCCAAAAATGTATGCTAGTAATATTTTCTTTTTCAAAAATATACTGCTTGTAATAATTTTCTAAAAATGTATTGCTGGTATTAAAACCTCTTTTTATACTTTCATAGTGTTTTGAACAGTTTTGGCGGAGTTAACAATAGCTGGGACCCTGACAGGCGCTCATGCTCCTCAAAACCACCTGATCAGAGGTCTTGTTGTCGGATGTTGTTTATTGGCTTACCCAGGAGGCGGATTCAGTTCATTGTCTTACCCAGGACGGAGATAAGAAAGAAAATAGAAAGAAGAAAACATAAAGAAAAAGTAAAAGAAAAAAGAAGCAAAAGGTTTAAGAAAAAAGAAAAGAAAAAGGGAATCTGGAAAAAATAAAGATAGAAGGATAGAAAAAGGAAGGAATGAAGAAAAAAAAAAGAAAGACAATGATGGAAGGGAAAGAAAGAAAATAAATAAATAAAAGGAAGGTATTTTTTAAAAGATGGACTATAATAAAGTTAAGGAGAGAAGGAAATAAGATGAAAAAGAAAGATGAAAAGAAAGGAAATAAATATAGAAAAAAAAGAACATAAAATTAAGAACATTTAAAAATTAAATATATTAAAAATTAAATTCTTAAAAATTAAGAACATAAAATTAAAATGGACAAAAGAAAGGGAAGAGAAAAGTTTAAAAAATCAAGAAAAATACGAAAGGTAAGAGAAGAAAGATAAAACAAGGAGTGAAAAAACAAAGAAAAGAAAATGGAAAATAATGAAATTGAAGAAGTAACTTTAAAAACAAATGAAGTCATGAAAAAATAAACGAACGACAGAAATAAAAGAAATACTATTCAAAATCATTGACGTCATTGAAAAAGTCTCTATGTTTTTTTTTTTTGTTTTTGTTTTTTTTTGTTTTCTTTTTCTTTTTTATTTGTGAGCACCTCCTGGCCCGTTGTCATTCATGACAAATTAGAATAATACATTTCCCAGAAATGGCGTCACTCGACCCATCTGGAGTCGATAGCATGAATACGACCTTTCCATTCGCTACACACCACCTAACCCCATGCACTCTTGGTGGCCCTTTATTCTTATTATCCTCTAACAAACACCTCATCAATCAATTTTACTTTTTATTTGCTTTTCTATTTTGCTTCCTATTTGCATTTTTGGATTAATTGTACAATTGTTAGTTTATTTTCCAAGTTATAAAATAATGGGATTATATAAATATATATATATATATATATATATATATATATATATATATATATATATATATAATAATATTTATAAATATATATATATATATATATTATATATATATATATATATATATATATACATATAATTACATATATAAATATATATATATAATTACATATATAAATATATATATATATATATATATATATGTATATATATATGTATTAGGAGTTTTATCAATATGTGTGTGTGTGTGTGTGTGTGTGTGTGTGTAATTAATACAAATATAAAGTTTGTCACTTAGTTGATTAGTGTTACCTTCAATATTTTCACTCCAGATTTTCGTACACGGACCCTCCAGCAATCACTCTGTCCTCACGTTTACCATTTGATAGACGGCACGGTCCTAACTGTGTGCCCCTTTCATTAGGCATTGTGTCACATCTAACCTACGCTTAGTAAATCGCTATATTTCTAAACAACGCTTAGAAAATAAAATTTATTATACATATACATATATATATATATATATATATATATATATATATTTATATATATATATATATATATATATATATATATATATATATATATATATATATATGAGATAGATAGATAGATAAGAGAGATAGAGAGAGGCATAGATATAGATATATAAAAATGATATTATAGTGGATACCCATTTGTCTATCGATCAACGAAATAAATTAATGTAAACATCGATAACTAAAAAAATAAAATTTTAAATAATAACAATATTTCAAATACGAAATAACTTTTAATAATAAAATTCATTAAATATAAACGCAGCCCTATAAATATAGATAACTAGGCTCATTTCGAAAAACCCTCGAATTTTGATTTGCTAATCAAATCAATCTCAAGTTTAAAACATGGACTTCTGCCGAACCAGATGCAGGTCTGAAGCCCAAAGAAAAACCCCGATACGAGTAAACAACTAACTAACAAAAGAGCTCAATACAACCGTAGAGCAGACCCTGACGCTCCGTTTAGGTGAAACCTAGGTAGGTATATATATATATATATATATATATATATATATATATATATATATATATATATATATATATATATATATATATATATATATATATATATATATATATATATATATATATATATATATATATATATATATATCTTGTTGAATATAACAGACAATGAATGTCTGTTATGTTTGATCATCAGCCCTTGTATGGTTGATTTAATTTCGGGTGAAAATAGAGACAAAAACTTTCCCACATTTAGATAGTATTGTTTTTTATTCAGCTATTCCTTGATCTAAGGTTTCGGCTCACATGAGTCATCTTCAGAGTGGTTATGCGGGTATAATATTCTGTTATGTTGATATACAAGGTTGCTATGCGACGATAACAGTCGTGGAATAGCGGACACCATTTATAAATTCATGATGCGGTTCTTTGACGTCATACCACGTGAGAGAGACCGAAATATTAACAACAGAACCATATGTCACCCTAAATTAAATAAAAAATACGAAGTTTAGAACGGCTTATGATCAAACATAATAGACATTCATTTTCTTAACAATACATGTTTAAATAAAGATCTGGTACCCCAATAGACAATATATATATATATATATATATATATATATATATATATATATATAAATATGTATGTATGTATATATATATATATATATATATATATATATATATATATATATATATATATATATATATATATATATATATATATATATATATATATATATATATATATATATATATGTATATATATATATATATATATATATATATATATATATATATGTATGTATTTATGAGTGTGTATGTGTGTGCGTATGTGTGTGCTTGTAGTATGTCTCATATTATCCGAAATAAAAAAAGAAGATACTGACACAAAATGGACAAATTATAAGCGAGGCGTTTCGCCGTAAAACCACTGCTGCGTTCGGCTTCTTCTGTTTAGAATGAAAGACGAAAATGTATTTATGGCTCCACCTCATCTTATCGTCAGAGATCCCGAAGCATTTTCCTTACATACTGTTTTGTTGTTCATTCTAACCCGGCGAAGCGAAAGGCATTAGCGAAACCCCTTGTTTATAACCTTTTCACGCTTTTCTCACATTTATATATGCGATTAGGTTCTGCCAACATCATAATTTCATATATATGACGGAGACAAAGCTTATAAAATCTGCAATAACCCACATTTAATCGTGTAAAATCTACGCATATATGACGACATAAGAACCAAAAATATAATACGCATTAAATACAAAATCTGTTACAAATAATGAAAAATAAAGATCTGATCAACGCAAAACAAGATAATAATAATAAAAATAATAATAATATTAATAATAATAATAATAATAATAATAATAATAATAATAATAATAATTTAACCGGCCAGATATTGTTATTAAAGACCACAAACAAATACGGTGCCTCCTTGTTGATATGGCAGTCCCTGCTGACTGCAATGTATCTTTGAAGATATTCAAAAAGCTGTCAAAATACAAGTACCTTGAAATAGAAACCTCGAAAATGTGGCATATGGGAACATCAACAATCCCTGTTGTAGTTGGAGCCCTAGGACTGGTTGGAAAAGATTGCAGCAGACTAATTGAAGGGATTCCTGGAAGTCCATGCCTCAAGGAGAAAAAATTGTTCTGACAAGTACAGACCACACTTTACGAAGGGCTTTATCTATGTAATTTTTTTTTTTGTCAGTGGAAAGTGTCATGACGCCATTTCTAACCTTAGGTTCCTGGGCGGGACCCGGAAAGAAATGTGTAAATGCCAGAAATCAAAGAAAATAATAATAATAATAATAATAATAATAATAATAATAATAATACCAACAACATTTACAGAAAGGAAACTGCAAGATATTGGAATGAACATAACCCAGACCAGCTTAAAGGCGTAGTAATTATTTTAAGGCACTTGACACTACACACAGACTGCACAATGAAAGCTAATCGTGCAGATATTGTGATCAAAGCCCATAGCAACAGAATACTCACATGACACTTCTTGCAGACTGTAATGTGTCTTTGATGATCTTTAAAAAACTATCAAAATACAAAGGCCTTGAAATCGAAATATGAAAAATGTGGCAAGTGAGTTGTAGTTGGAGCTCTCGGTTTGATTGGAAAATATTACGATAGACTAATTGAAGGGATCCCTGTAGCCGAAGCCTTAAATAAATACAAAATATAATGAACACGTAAGTACAGCTCCCACGTTACGAAAGACTTTATCTATGTAAAATATTTGTGATCATAGTTTGATTTTTGTTTTTGTTTTTTTTTGTCAAATAAATGCTCAGTGGAAAATGTTACGATGATATTTCTGAAGTTAGATCTTCCGGTTTACCCGGAAAGAAAAGAGTATATACAATAAATCAAAGGAAATAATAATAATAATAATAAGGGGAAGAAGAATAAGAACAATACAACAACAACACCAACAACAACAACAGCAAGGAAAAGAAGGAATAAACATAATGCAAGAAATTACAGTAAGATCTGCATAGATGATCCCAAGAAAGAAAAAGTTAAACATAGAGGAAATTGAATAAAAGATTACATGAATATAAAAGAGATCATTTTCAAAACAATATACACTGTGCGATGGATAAAATTGTCGTCATTTTAATATGTTTAACTTTGCGCATGCGCTTTGCGCTTTTTTGTTTTTGATTTTGTCGAGTGCACTATATAGTAGTTTCATTTGGGCACCATATGTGAGAAAAAGAGCCCCATGTCGTAATTCCCTATGCGAGAAATTTGGAAACGGCATGCTGTACTGCTTGGAATTCGCGGCGGAAGCTCCAATACAAACATTTCAGTGTGTTTGGGTGTCAATCTGAGAGTAGTGCGGACAACTGGGAAAGAGTTGAATGAGTCTAGTGGCGATTACAAAAGTACGGCAGCTCGGAAAACTCTTTCTAATTGTTCTGACAAGAAAAGAACTCCAGAATTTATTGGTGTGGTCCTTAAACGCAACACGGAGGCCTACATCAAGTGCCTTGTGCGAGCAGCGCTGTCCGGATCAAGAGGGTGGCTGCTGGAAGACATTATGTCTGAGAACAGGTCCTGCACCATACCACACAAGCACGAGGAACCAGACAATTTCTGCAATCACAACACCCCCTACATCTGGTCACTTAACTCTCCAGAACTGCAATCACCCTTGATTATTATGTCTGGAACACAGTTGAGCGAGAGATCAGTAAAACTCCATGTAGCATTAGAGATTAACTGAAGGCAAGGAATATGGTATCATTCACCAACATATATAAGACCTCCCAGAAGAATTGCAGGAAATTCCGAAGTCATCTAGGGATTGTGATTGAAGCCAATGGCGATTTTATGAAGTAAATTTACTCGTTATAATTTCAAGATATTTTTTAAGTACACGGAATAACAAACACTATAACACATAACGATTGGTTAGGAGCAGTTATAGATTGGAGATTGTGCAAACGACTTGTGTTTAACGACATTCAAGATTAAGAACTGTCTCTAAATAATAACATGATTAAAATCCTCTGAGACAGTGAGGCGCAAATAAAGAAGACATTG